CTATCAGCCTGCAGCTTCACAGTTAGCCTGCAGCTTCATGATTAGCTTACAGCTTCACTATCAGCCTGCAGCTTCACAGTTAGCCTGCAGCTTCATGATTAGCTTACAGCTTCACTATTAGCTTACAGCTTCACGATTAGCCTGCAGCTTCATGATTAGCTTACAGCTTCACTATTAGCTTACAGCTTCACGATTAGCCTGCAGCTTCATGATTAGCCTGCAGCTTCATGGTTAGCTTACAGCTTCATGATTAGCTTACAGCTTCATGTTTAGCCTGCAGCTTCATGGTTAGCTTACAGCTTCATGATTAACCTGCAGCTTCATGATTAGCCTGCAGCTTCACAATTAGCTTACTGCTTCACGGTTAGCTTACAGCTTCACGGTTAGCTTACTGCTTCACGGTTAGCTTACTGCTTCACGGTTAGCTTACAGTTTCACGGTTAGCTTACAGCTTCACGGTTAGCTTACAGCTTCATAATTAGCTTACAGCTTCATAATTAGCTTACAGCTTCATAATTAGCTTACAGCTTCACGATTAGCTTACAGCTTCACGGCTAGCTTTTAGCTTCACGGCTAGCTTTCAGCTTCACGGCTAGCTTTCAGCTTCACGGTTAGCTTTCAGCTTCACGGTTAGCTTTCAGCTTCATAATTAGCTTACAGCTTCATGGTTAGCTTACTGCTTCACGGTTAGCTTACTGCTTCACGGTTAGCTTACTGCTTCACGGTTAGCTTACAGCTTCACGGTTAGCTTACAGCTTCACGGTTAGCTTACAGCTTCACGGTTAGCTTACAGCTTCACGGTTAGCTTACAGCTTCATAATTAGCTTACAGCTTCATGGTTAGCTTATAGCTTCACGGTTAGCTTTCAGCTTCATAATTAGCTTACAGCTTCACGGTTAGCCTGCAGCCCCACCAGCACTCACTTCCTGTGCAGGTTCTGGGTTTCCTCTTCCTGCTGTACTGACCTGGTTCTGAGTAGCCCCAGTTTGTGTATGTGACCCGACCCGGGGAGCCGTCCTGGCTCATCCACTGGTATTGTCCCGTGTGCTTGATGTCCTGCAGGCCGGTCCAAAAGTACTGAGGCTCCTTACTGATGTGTCCTCTGAGGAGACGGTTGATGAAGGCCTGCTCAAACCTGGAGGACCACAGGAACCACACATTAACACATCCCATAATGTGGACCTGATGGTACTGGTTCTTATCATCTTTAGCTTGTTCCCTCCTCAGGGTCCTCTGTCCTCACAACAACTACCAACRACCTCCATGTCCTCTCTAACATCCTTCTACCATTATACCCACTGTCCCTCTGGACAGCACAGAAACACCACCAGCTGGTTTCCTGAAGAACCAGATGTGGTTCTGAGGTCTCACCTGGTCCTGATCGTCATGTTGCAGCGATCCTTGAAGTAGACCTGGGTGGTGTTCACCCGGAAGCAGGAGCTGCCATGTCTCCTCCAGCCCTGAGGGGGTCGAGAGTTCAGGGTTTTAATTCCACTTCCTGTCACCAGTCCTCAGGTAAAAACTTGAGAAGGTAAACTTCTAAAGTTATTTATAGAAATAAAAACTAGATCAAAAAATGCTTTTAGTCTGAAAGGGTTAAACTGGAAGTATCACAAGTTAGACAGAGCTATAACTCTGATTTGACTCGACTTCCACTAATTCTTCTGTTTTCAGATTAGCGTTAGCAGAGCTAAGCTTCTTATTTAGCAGATTAGCATTAGCAGAGCTAATATTCTTGTTTAGGGGATTAGTGTTAGCAGAGATAAGATTCTTGTTTAGCAGATTAGCGTTAGCAGAGCTAAGATTCTTGTTTAGCAGATTAACGTTAGTAGAGATAAGATTCTTGTTTAGCAGATTAGCGTTAGCAGAGCTAAGATTCTTATTTAGCAATTAAGGTTAGCAAAGCTAAGATTCTTGTTTAGCAGATTAGCGTTAGCCAGACTATGATTCTTATTTAGCAGATTAGCGTTAGCAGAGCTAAGATTCTTATTTAGCAGATTAGCGTTAGCAGAGCTAAGATTCTTATTTAGCAGATTAGCGTTAGCAGAACTAAGATTCTTTTTTAGCAGATTAGCATTAGCAGGCTAAGATTCTTGTTTATTGGATTAGCAGTTAGTGAAGCTAACGTTTTGGTTAGCTGTGCCACCACTAGGTTTCATGAACCAGTGCTGGGAAACAAAATCTCACATCTTTCCAGCTACATCCGGTTTGTGCCACCGAATCRTTGACCACTCCTTCCTTCTGACACATGAAGGGGAGGTTCTGGGTGCAGCTCCCGACCCGCCACATGTGACCCTGCAGAAAAAGAGTTTGGTTCTACAGACGTGCCACAGGTACAGATGGAACCAGGAGGGTGGATTCACACAAACCTGTCCGGAGTAGAAGACGCAGCTGGTCTCCTCGGTGGGCTGTGAAGGCTGGTTCCGGTCCCAGTAGGTGAAGGTGACGGGTCYCTCGTGGGACCATTTAAAGACGGTGGACTTGATTCCAGCACCGGTCAGACCRATCCACACGTCCAATGTCCCACTGCCTGATGGCGCCGACACATGAGATCAGATGAAACCAAAAAAGTACCAAAAAGCAGGAAGTGATAGAACYGGTCTTCTACCTGAGTGGAAATAAGTGCTGATCATCTCTTTGGTGTCGATGGAGTGGAAAGAAGCTAAACGTCCTTCCTCTGCGGCGCTGCAGTGCTGCTGGGCGTCRGTGAAGTTTCGTGACACATTGAACAGCTTGTAGCACCAGCCGCTCCACGGCACCCAGCCGTCGCCACAAACCGTCTCTTTATAAACATCCAGCTCTGCGTGGAGAAACAACCGGGTGACACGGTTATTTACCAGAAATGTTTGATTTAAATAATGCTTTACGGTCCAGATGTTTCTGACATGGAGCTAAATGGGACGGTTAAAAGTGGAGCTGAGGGGAAAACTAGAGCTGATGGTAAAGGTGCAGCTGGGGGGAAAAGGTGGAGCTGAGGGAAAAAATTGGAACTGAGGGAAAAAAGTGGAACTGAGGGAAAAAAGTGGAACTGAGGGGAAAAAGGTGGAACTGAGGGGAAAAGTGGAACTGAGGGGAAAAGTGGAACTGAGGGGAAAAGTGGAACTGAGGGGAAAAGTGGAACTGAGGGGAAAAGTGGAACTGAGGGGAAAAGTAGAGCTGAATAGAATAAGTGGAGCTGAGGGGGGAAAGTGGAGCTGAGGGAAAAAGGCGGAGCTGAGGGTAAAATTGGAGCTGATGGTAAAGGTGCAGCTGGGGGGAAAAGGTGGAGCTGAGGGAAAAAATTGGAACTGAGGGAAAAAAGTGGAACTGAGGGAAAAAAGTGGAACTGAGGGGAAAAGTGGAGCTGAGGGAAAAAAGTGGAGCTGAGGGGGAAAAGTGGAACTGAGGGGAAAAGTAAAGCTGAACAGAATAAGTGGAGCTGAGGGAAAAAAAGTGGAGCTGAGGGGGAAAAGTGGATCTGAACAGAATAAGTGGAGCTGAGGGGGAAAAGTGGAGCTAAGGGAAAAAAATTGGAGCTGAGGGGAAAAAAGCAGAGCTGAGGGGGAAAAGTGGAACTGAGGGAAAAAGTAAAGTTGAACAGAATAAGCGGAGCTGAGGGGGAAAAATGGAGCTGAGGAAAAAAAAGTGGAACTGAGGGAAAAAAGTGGAACTGAGGGAAAAAAGTGGAACTGAGGGGGAAAAGGTAGAGTTGAGGGAGAAAAGTGGAGCTGAGGGGAAAAGTAAAGCTGAACAGAATAAGTGGAGCTGAGGGAAAAAAGTGGAGCTGAGGGAAACATCAACTCCTACTCTGGTTAAATGATGACTCAGCACTGAAAGTGAAACTCACGGCTCTCTGTGTCGTCGGAGGCGTTAACTTTCTTCTTGCAGACATACGGCAGCTGCTTGTAGCACGACATGGGCTCGTAGTTCATCTTAGAGTTCAGGACACCGCAGTCCACTGTGGAAATGGATACTCCTGCCAAACAATAAACAAACAAACAAACAATAAACAAACAAAGGAGTGACTGATCTTTCTGGGCTGGTATACAAGACTTCTTTTAGTTGTTTTGTGACAGTCCAGTAGAAACACATTCTGGATTATTTTAACATAAAAAAAAACAATTTGAAAACAAATCCATCTGATCAGACGATGACTTCCTGTTTGGTTCTGTTTTGGGTCAAACAGGTCCGGTTCCAATCTGCTTCCCCACAACAAAACAACTGAAAGTTTCTGCGGCTGAAACTRAAGTTTGGAGAGAAACAAAACGAGATTCAAGATGGCTGCCGCAGCTAACCGTCCTCAGCCGACACAAACGTGGCTCCAACAGGTCCGATCCTCTGAAGAGTCCAGAACCAAAGGTGTTCCTCCAAACCTGACAGTTAAAAACMGTTAAAACACCAAACCAGTCGTTACCTGGTTCCCAGCGCAGGATGGAGAGAGGCGAGCCGTCGGACCACTGCCAGCCCTGAGACAAGTCCAGCTGGTGGAGACCGATCCACATGGTCTCAGGCATCCGTCCCAAACCGTCCAGAACTGCAAAGATCACAGAAGGAAAGCACAAAGGTCTGACCAGTTTCTGTGGATCTGAATGTTAAGTTTTGATTTTTAAATGAGAAAAACCAGATCATGAAAAGCAGACAGGAAGGAGGAAAACACCAAACAGAAACGACTCAACGGGTTTAAACCTGTTATCAGACAAAAACTCAGCTCTACGAATGCATCGATGCTAAGCGCTAATTAGCATTAACACGTTTTCTTTGCAGAAAGTTTCAGTGAGGGAGTCATCCTCAGGTCAGAGTCAGATCCGTTTGTTCTGCCCTTTGGCACGGTGGAGCGGTGGTTAACTGCCGCCCCTCAGTAAGGAGGTCACAGGTTTGTTTCTTAACCTTATAGCTCAGCGTTTACATGTTCTCCCTGAGCACATGTGGGTTTTCTCTTWATTTCTATTCATTTTAATAAATAAAATGTAATTAAAAAGCTCTGAGGAGGGATGATGGACACCCTCAGGGTCCTGACGTGGTTTTAAAGGATCCATGATTAGTTGTAACATTAGACTTTATTTGATAAACATTTATTTAAACTGTAAAATAAAGACTGTAAAAATACTGTAGGATGTTCAGTTTTTATCGTTTTTAAAGTAAAAGTTAAAAAATATATTTCACGGACGGGGCCATTTTATTTACATGCAAAGCATTCTGGGTAAATGATGACATCAACTAGGTCATCGGTGCGAGGCTGCTAGTGAGCTATATCCACCCTGAAGTTTAATCTTGGACAATATCTGAGGATCGACTCTTTTAAATGAAACCAGAGAGCATTGACAGAGAGGAGAAGGTAGAAATGACTCAGGCCTTATTAAACATCCTACAGTATTTTTACAGTCTTTATTTTACAGTTAAAATAAATGTTTATCAAATAAAGTCTAATGTTACAACTAATCCTGGATTCCTTTAAAACCACGTCAGG